ACAGCCGACCACCTTGTCGTAGCTTCCCATGATGTGCAAATCCTAGCAAGGGCATTGTCACCTGCGCAACACTCTAAGGCCCTCGTGCGTCATCGGCGTCTGGCCCTGTCCATGTCTCAGTTTAGCCCAGTGAAATGAGAACGATGCCAATTGCACAACAAGAAAGCAAGCTTTCTCAATATGAAACATTTTCAAGCGTTTACACTTTTATAATTGTGTATTGTAAATGCGAAGCTGCTTGTACCGCAATGTTTGGCATCGTCAAAGTGTGCTATTCCCCTTCTCCAACTACAAAAGGGGGTTAGAGGTCATTCTTCCTCCACCCACGGTTTTCTTTTTTTCACAGCTCAAGTTCAAATCCCGCCCACCCAACCCATCGCATCTACTTTGCCCACACAGGCCCAACGCCATGCTCGACTCTGTGGATCGCCAGTAGTGCAGACCTAGCCTTCGTAGTGTAGTGATCTAGGTTTATGTACTGAGATATTGGGAAATCTTTGTACTTGATGCCCAGTGAAATGAGAACGATGCCAATTGCACAACAAGAAAGCAAGCTTTCTCAATAACGGATCAATGATGAGAACTTCCCTAAGAACTCCCCCTGGACATGCCCCACGGCGAACGTCTTCTACTCCGCGTCTATCATCTAGGGCTCATCAGGCCCGCGCGCATGTTCGGGCCTTCTGCCTTATACAACAGCCTCAACTTGTGGTTCCTTGCTGGGCCTCAGGTGCCCATCCCCTCCTGTTTTTTTCAGGCGGCTCAAGGACCATCAGTGCATTCTCTCCTATATGCACTCCGTCTCCCCACCCCCCCCCCCCCCCCCCCCTCCCACCATCCTCCACCCCAAAAAATTGATCAACGATAAAAATTTCCCTGAGAACTCCCCTTGGACGTGCCCACGACCAACATGTTCTACTCGACGCCTATCATCTGGGGGCTAATTGGCCCCAAACGCATGTTTGGCCCACATGCATTCTACAACCTCTGTTGGTGCAACCCTACGGCTTGCACACAGCTTGTCGTCCTTGTTCGTATGTGTGCATGCATGGCATGGAGTGACTTGTGAGTCTATGTCATTGCTATCTAGTGCTTGTGTGTGTACTTGAATGATGTCTCACAATGTGGTATGTGTCGGTCAAGACATTAGCGAGTTTTCACTACTCGCATGTCAAGTCGTCGTTTGCATGTCGCATGTGTTTTAACAGCTGAAGATTTCAAGCCCAACGGACGTGGATAAATATTAAAATAGTGAAAATAGTAATGCTACTTCGTGTAGTGTTACATTTCACTTGGTGTAGCCCCTTGCTGGGTTTGTTTCGAGTCTCCTCGTGGTTGGGAACTCTCTGGTGGTGTACCACCAACCTAGAACTTGGCTCTTGGGGTATGTAGAGGCTAGGAACCATCTCAATCTCGATTCTTCTTGCTAAGTTTGTACTTCTAAGGATATAGTGGCTGCCATACCTCCTGCCAGTCAAACCGCCATAGCGTCGTCAAAACTTCATGGAATTTCATGATTCAACTTGCTGCTGATAGACGTCAGCAAATCGCTCCAGATCCAATTTATAGATTACCGTTTGAGTTAGCGAGAAGATCGTTATCAATATTTGAATCTGTCACACGAAAATCCGACTGTGCTCTCTATCTCTCATTATAGGCACATTTGAGCCTATTATGATTATAACAGCCTCAACTAGTGGTTCCTAGGGGGTGCTCTGGCGCCCATCCCCTTCTGGACCTTGCACAAGCTCAAGCCATGGTAAACGGTGGGTTGGCTCGGGCGTGTGTGAGTTGATGCAAGCAGATTTTGAGGTGACTCTGATAGAAGGTGGGTTTACTGGGAGACAGTGGCTCCTGGGGGGGTGGGGGGGCTCTAGCTCCCATCTCCTTCTGGGCCTTGCATAAGCTCTGGCCGCAACAGACGGTGGGTTGGTTTGAAGTGATGTAAGATAGGGAGAAGGCGGGTTAACCCAGGTACACTATGAGTTAGTTCAGGCACATTGGTACCTTCAACTACCGTGAGGCCCAGGTTGCGTAAGTTATTGGATTGCAAAGTTACTGGAGACAGTACGGTAATGATATTTCACTCCGTAGGTACTCCCCGACCCAAGTGGCCAAGATTGGTCTTCATCTACCCGTCACCATCTCCCTCTCTTCGCGTGATTCCTGCCTTACTTTCACAAAGCATCTGTCCTTGACATGGCTGATCAATGTGCACATTCCAGCGATGCTAAGTGGTGTGGGGATGATGCCCCCTGCCATGCCCATCAATCAACCACATTGCATGCCTCACCTCTAACACCTCCTTGCTTGATGCCTGCCTCAACCACACCCATTTCTTTGTTGGAGTGGCTGACCAAGGTGCACATCCCAGTGATGCCCACTGCTGTGGGCATGATGCCCCTTGCCACGCCCATCTATTGTGTGATGTCATCGTATGCTATCACATTCTGTCTGCCTCTCATCCCTTGTTTCAATTCGCATGTATGGTTTGACTGTGTGTGAAAGAATTTATGTGGTGTGTTTTGGAGTTTGGGAATGTGTTCTGTGTTATTTTTGTTTGAGCAGGTATATGTGATGATAGATCTTGAGAATATCTTTCCGACGCAACAAGAATCCCTTCAATCGGAGCAAGAACGCGAAAGCTATGAAGATTCAAAATTCATGAGCTTGCGTTACAATTGCGGCGGCTACAAAGTGAAGTTGTGGGGTGACTCTACATGGAGTTGGGACCTTTGGGGTTGGGGAGATTTGTCACTCTACTGTAACAGCTGCAAACTGGTTGGGAACTGCCAAGCTAGGTTGGCAAGGGTGGCCAACATGGTTGGATTGGTTGGGAAGGGACAAATGTCAAAGTTTGGGTTCTAATAGGGAGGGAATCTTTGTGCTTATAGGGTTTCCTAAGTGGTGTTCTAAAGGTTGGATGTATCTTCCGCTAAGGGGAAACTCTGCCGAAATTTCGTGGACGCCGACACTTGTGAAAATATCGAGGGAGCTGAGTGTGGACAGCAAAGGGGAGCTGAAAATCGTCATTTCTCAAGGAGAAGATGAATGAGAGAGGAGGAGATGCTAATGGAAGAGGAGCTGTACCTGAGAAGACAAGTGAGCTGCTACCATCAAAAGTTGAAGCTTTGGATGGCTCCAACTATAAGGAATGGAGCGGGCGGATGAGGAGTGCCTTCAAACGCTACAAGCTACTGAAGATTGCTGTTGGGGAGGAGAAGATGCCGGAAGAAGGCGAAGCACGCGAACGATGTATTGAGAAAAGCGCGGTGCTTTTCAACCTCATCCTTCAATCGGTCAACAAGGAGATGTTCGAGCACATCAAGGATCTTGTGGAAGCAAATGTTTAGGGTCCAAGGGCGTGGAAACTACTACGCGATGTGATTCAGCCCAACACTCTCCCGATGGTGATCGTGCTCGAGAAGGAACTTGCTGCCATCTCCATGCGACCAGGGGACGATGTGAAGCCGGTCCTTGACAAGATCAAGGACACCTATGCAAGGATGGCATCAGCGGGCAGCAGTGTATCTCAGCTGCAGCAGTGCACCAAGATCATCTCGGTGTTGGACAACTCTTGGGACAATCTCATCCCTACCCTCAACTCTCAGCAAGATCAATGGACACCTGAGTGGCTAAGGCAGCAGATTCTGCAGGAGGACTTCCGCAGACGCCATGTGGGAGGTGGTGCCTCCACTAAGACTGCTGAGGGGTATGGAGCTGCAGGGCGCGGCAGAGGAAGAGGGGGTTGGAGAGGCCGAGGCCGTGGGAGGAGCTTTGGCAGAGGTAGAGGCCGAGGTGACTATAATGAGGGGCATGGGAGCTCTAGTGGCAGGGGGAGTACCAGAATGGAGGGCACCTGCTGGTACTGCAAGAAGGTCGGGCATCCTTGGTTCAAGTGCTTCAGCAGGGCGGAGGGATGGGCACCTCCAAGCATGAAGCCACCCAGTGGTGAACGCGCACAAGGTGGCGCTGTGCAAGGCTCAGGTGCACAAGGTGAAGGTGCACAAGGTAATGCTTATCCTGGGATGTTTCTCATGGTTGAGGATGTGCATGGGCATGAGGGTGATGTGGGATCTGTGGGAAAGGTTGTGATGCACCCTCTCACGCACTGGGTGATTGATTCGGGTTGCACCAGTCACATGACCCCACGGGCAGATTTGCTTGATAAGGTAAAACCCCCTGGGAAGATCAAGTATGTGGCAGCAGCGTCAGGTGCTTTGCTCCCTATCATTGGTATTGGGAATGCCAAGGTTAAGGGAGCTAATGGGGAGCTTGTGGGGCTTGGAAATGTTCTGCTGGTTGAAGGTCTGTCTGCTAACCTTCTCTCTGTGCCGCGTCTGCAGAAGAGCAAGGCCGAAGTGATCTTTGGACCAACCAGCTGCCGTGCAAAGCTTGGGAAGAAGGTGCTGTGGAGTTTGGAAGAGGAGACCAGCTGCATCAAGCACCTATGGCAGCTGCCCATCATCCCTTGGAATGGGAAGACTCCAACAGAAGCAACGGCAGCAGCGGCAAAGGCAACAGCAGGAGGAGTTGCAACTGCACCAACTGATGGGGTCCTGGAAGCAATTAAGAAAGTGCAGCAGCAGACACATGGTGAGGTGCTTGCTGGTGTGGATGCAAGTGCGGCATGGGCTAAGGCTTCATCAAGGAGTGGTGAGACCGATTGGGAGACATGGCATGAGAGGCTGTGTCATGTGAACTTCCCTATGCTTCAAACGTTGGTGAAGGATGGGAGCCTGAAAGGATTGGAGGTCAAGGGGGGAGTGAAGGAGATTGGGAGCTGCCCTACATGCTTGGAGACCAAGTTCTCCAAGTTCCTCTTCAACAGCACTCCAGGACCAGCCAAGACCCCACTTGCACTTGTGCACATGGATGTGGTGGGGCCCACAAGGGCCCCTTCCCTCTCAGGCAGCCGCTATTTCTTGACTATTGTGGATGACCACACTCGGGCAGTGTGGGTTTACCCTTTGAAGAGCAAGGGGGAGGTGGCAGCGGCTGTCCTTAAGGAGTGGATGCCTAGAGCTTAGAGGCAATGCGGACACAAGGTGAAGGTGAACCGCAGTGACAATGGTGGGGAGTTCATTGGAGCTGATTTTGAGGGGGAGTTGAAGAGGAAGGGGATCCAACATCAACTGACAGTGCCCTACAACCCGCAGCAGAATGGTGTGGCTGAGAGGTTCAACAGGACCCTGCAGGAGGGGGCACGCACTCTCCTTGGGCGTGCAGGGCTGCCTGATCCGTTTTGGGTGTCTGCACTGAGGCAGGTCGCCCTTGTGAAGAACAGGGTGCTGGCTACAGTTGGGGATAAGAAGTGGATCGCGTATACCAAGTGGTATGGGAGTGCTCCAGCTGTGAACATGATGAGGGCATTTGGGTGCATGGTGGTATTTCATGTGCCTAAGGAGAAAAGGGGGAAGTTGGAGGCTTCTGGAAGATGGGGTGTGCACTTGGGGATTGCAAAGGATCACAAGGGGTGGCTGCTGTGGGACTTGACCACCCAGAAGCTGACTGTGTCAAGGGATGTGAAGTTCCTTGAGTCCCTGTACTACAAGGAATGGAAGCAGCAGCAACAGAAGCTTCCATCTACACCGCTAATTGTGGAGGCAGATGAGTTGCAGCAGCCTTCAAGACAGGTGGAGGTTGTAGTGTCTGAGGAGGAGATGTCTGGGGTGACCGAGGAAAGGGGAGCAGCTGAGGTGGAGCAGCAGCAGCAGCAGCATGAGTCTCCACCTCGAGTTCCACACCCGCCTGAGCGACCTAGGAGGGATGTGCGCCCTCCGGTGAGGCTGACGTATGGGGGAAGAGGCAAGCCGAATGTGGTGCAGGCTGGGAGTGTGGTTGAGCAGATTGAGGAAGATGAGATCGCTCACTGCTACTCGGCACCAATCCCTGAGCCCAAGACTCGAGAGGAGGCCTTGAATGGACCAAATGGGGAGAAGTGGAAGGCGAGTGAGGATGAGGAGTTCGAGTCCCTGATTGAGAACGAGACATGGGACCTGTGTGACTTGTCCTAGGAAGAAGGCAATCACTTCCAAGATGATCTACAGGCACAAGTATGGACCTGAAGGGGAGCTGACCCGCTACAAGTCTAGGCTTGTGGCACGGGGGTTTCAGCAGACTAAGGGGAAGGACTATGATGAGGTGTTTGCTCCTGTGGGGAAAGGAACAACACTGAGGGTGCTATTGGCAATAGCTGCACTCCTGGGATGGAAGATACGGCAGATTGACATTGTGACTGCCTTTCTGAATGGGATCATTCTGGAGGAGGTGTACATGAAGCAGCCAGAGGGGCTGGATGATGGGAGCGGCAGGGTTTGCAGGCTGAAGAAGGCCATCTATGGCCTTAAGCAGGCGCCTCGTGCATGGTATCACAAGTTGGAGGAGGCGCTGCTGGCTGGGGGTTTCAAGAAGAGTGAGTGTGACCCCAGCCTGTTCCTGCTGCAGGAGAAGGATGAAATCCTCATGCTCTTGGTGTATGTGGATGATATCCTTCTCTTTTCTGCATCAACTGCTTTGCTGGACAGCGCAGAGCAGATGCTGGAGATGCAGTTCAAGTGTTCCAAGATGGGTGAGGTGAAATACTACCTGGGGATGCATGTGGAGAGAGATGTGGAAAAGGGTGTGCTGAGGTTGCACCAGAGGAAGTACTGTGAAGGGCTGGCTGAGAAGTATGGGCTGCAAGATGGGGGACAGCCAGCAACACCACTACCTTCGGGGTTTACTGTGGAGCCATGTGCTGATGAGGAGGTAGTAGGTGAGAGTGACAGGAAGCTGTTTCATTCGATGGTTGGGTCACTGAACTATGCTGCAAATCATACACGGCCTGACATTGCATTCGCTACATCACGGTTGGCTAGTGTGGTCTCACGCCCTAGTCATGAGCAGCTGGAAGCGGCCAAGAGGTTGGTCCGCTATGTGAGTGCTACGGCATCAGTGGGATTGGAGTACAGTGGAGTGAGGTAGCGGTTGCAGAGAGGTGCTGCAGATGTGAAGAGTGGAGAGATGCTCTCGAGTTGCTATACTGACGCTAGCTTCAACTCAGTGAAAGCGGATGGCACCAGCATTGGGGGTTATGTGTGCTTCCTAGGAGGTGGTGCTGTGAGCTGGCGCAACAAGAAGCAGAATGAAGTGGGATTGTCCTCATGTGAAACTGAGTACATGGCCTTACACCATGGGGCCAAGGAAGTGGTGTGGCTGAGGCGCTTGTTGGAGGAGTTGGGAGTTGGTCAGGAGGAGCCGACAGTTGTGTTCTGTGACAATGAGTCTGCAGTGAAGCTCGCCAAGAATGCTTGTCTGCATGGGCTGACAAAACACATAAGGCCTAAGTGGCATTGGGTGAGGAGACTCCTTGATAAGGAGGTGCGGCTGGAGATAGTGAAGACCCATCAGCAGGTAGCAGATATTTTCACTAAGCGTCTGGCAGAGGCGGATCATTGGAAGGGCATGAAGCTTGCTGGGATGAGTGTGCATTGAGTATGCATGCTTGAGATGATGGTATGGTGGATGATGGTTGGCAGCCAGAGGGGGAGATTGTTGTGTGATGTCATCATATGCTATCACATTCTGTCTGCCTCCCATCCGTTGTTTCAATTCGCATGTATGGTTTGACTGTGTGTGAAAGAATTTGTGTGGTGTGTTTTGGAGTTTGGGAATGTGTTCTGTGTTATTTTTGTTTGAGCAGGTATATTTGATCATAGATCTTGAGAAGATCTTTCCGACGCAACATGAATCCCTTCAATCGCAGCAAGAACGCGAAAGCTATGAAGATTCAAAGTTCATGAGCTTGCGTTACAATTGCGGCGGTTACAAAGTGAAGTTGTTGGGTGACTCTATATGGAGTTGGGACCTTTGGGGTTGGGGAAATTCGTCACTCTACTGTAACAGCTGCAAATTGGTTGGGAACAACCAAGCTAGGTTGGCAAGGGTGGCCAACTTGGATGGATTGGTTGGGAAGGGACAAATGTCAAAGTTTGGATTCCTATAGGGAGGGAATCTTTGTGCTTATGGGGTTTCCTTGGTTGGGGACTCTCTTAGGACGTTCCCTCTCATCCCTCTCTTCTATCCCAACCTTTCTCTTGCTCGTCTAATTCTTTGTGACATTCTTGAACTTCAATTGAATTTTTGAGATTGAGTTAAGTTCTCCTCCTACAGCTTACCCCCTAATGCGTCGAAAGACTTAGCGTCGCGAATACTTCATCAATCAACGTGATTCAAATTGGTAACGGTAGCTGAGATTAAGAGCTACATCATATCCAAGTTTCGAGATGTTTCAATGGCTAGTTTTTTGTCGACATCGTTTCTTGTGAAGACGACTTTTCTGTCCAGAATTTCGGATTTATATTTGGAGTAATTGTAGCTCCTAAGTTCACCTAGACTCCGTCCTTAATCCTAACACCATCAACTATGTCGGCTGGATTGCCATGGGCTTCATCTTCAACAAGCTTGTCTTCAGTTACAAAAAGGTAGCATGCTTTTGCCACGATGCATGCGTGCTGCTCCTTTTTGTTGCTCTTATTCCTTTCAATTCCATTTTCCTTCTCATTTGTAATTGCTTTCAGGATTGGTGGCGCCGTTAGAATTGCGTCCTTTCTGCAGCACTGGATTCAGGAGTCATGTTCATGGCTCTTTTCATCTTCTTTGGGGTTCAAGACAAAACCTCTTATGTTTCCATCGCCTGGTGGGGTGATGGGGTAACATCTTCTGATAACTGCCTGCTTGCCATGTGTCCAATTGACCCCTCAGCAATTACAACTGTGAATTCAGCATGGCCTACTTATGCTGGTTCTTGACCAAGCTGCTCAAGAACTAGTGTCTGTATATGCTGTCCATTCCATTACAATGTGTTGAACCAAATTTCTGTTATTAGAGCAGTTGCAAACCTTATTGACCATGTAAGCATTCTTGAATTGCACATCGGTCACAACCTGACTTTGCTCTTCATGAAGTGTTAGTCAAGTAGGGTTCTATCCAAACGAAGGAGTGGTGGTAAAAGGAGCATCTCCCTCCTCCACCTTTGTCAAGCTGCTCTACTTGCATGGTATCTACATTTTGGTCACGGTTCCTGCTTACCTTTAGGGCAGTCTGAGAATCAGACGGGGGACAAAAGTTTTGTCTAAACATCATATGAGCCGCTAGGGGTGATCTGGACTTTCAGACGAGGTGTGCAGCCTTACCTGAGTTTGCTGACGAAATCTCTCTCGAGAAAACTAAGCAGCTTGTCATTGAGGCTTTTATTCTAGCACATCTACTATCATTCGTCAAGTGTTACAGCACTAATATAATAATACTCCTACGTCAGTAGCTTCGGCAATAATAATGCTCCATAGATCTAGAAAGGAGCCACAATTAGCCTACTAGCATCCTACAAGCTCAATAGAGCCCACTGTACTGCAGAGCAGACCCGACTAGCATTAAACCTTTTTCTCCTTGCTCATCCTCCCCACTGTCAGACTCCAGCGCTCTGCCCTTACCCTTCCTCTTTCATACAGGGCCTGCTGCACCATCCTCATCAAACATCTGTGCCGCCTCTGTTGCTGCAAGCACCTCGGCCTGTCGTGCTACTGCTGCTGCTGTTCCTGCTGCCTTGAATGCCGCTGACCGCTTCTGCCTCTTCGCTGAACGGGAACCCTGCCCCATCACCACCTCCCTCGCGTGCCACCTCTTCTTGACCCCATGCCAATGCGCCATCATAGCATCCCACTCCATGTCGTACTCAAGCAGCGACAAGGTCATCAAGACGCTCAGCTTTGCGTCGCACAGGTTGCCACTCAACCAGCTTTTGATGACATTACGGCGGCTAAAGCCACGTTCACACTCAACTGTTCTCAGCGGCAGCACCGCTACCGCTATCCAAAGGGTGGCGATGTTTGGGTAGGTCGTTTTCCAGTCGGGATTGGAGAGCATGTTCTGGTGAGTTGACATAATCGTCGTGAAGCTACTGAGCTCCTTTTTCACCTTCCCCCGGTGGACACCTATGTGGGGGAACATTGACAGGTCGGAAGGGAGAAGGATGGAGGCGGTTGGATCACAGCAGCCAAGTGGTATAGAGAATATGCATATAGCGAAGGCAAAGAATTGCAGGGTGGAATCGAAGCCAGAAAACATACTCAGGAAATTCTCACCTGGCAGAGTGTTGGGGGCAGAAGCATCGTGCCTCAACAGGTTGCGGAGGGACTGCAGCCATGCCGCAAAATTCAGCTCCCCCATTGCCGCCGTCCGAGGATAAAGGCCTTGCTTGAACAGGCACATGCCGTTGAGCGATGCCTGATCCTGCAAACAGCCCTGCAGCTTGCTGATGATGGACAGCCCCACCGTCTCTGCCAGCTCTTGAAGAGAGTCCATATCCCCGCCATTGATTTGCCCCTCAATGTCGGCCGTAGTCAGCTCATAGGTGTGCGTAGTCGGAGTGTCGTTTGCGTCCACGGCGTTAATGGAAACGTCGTCTCTTGCTGCGTTAAGTTGCAAAGAAGTCATAGTATGCCAGGGAGCAAGTATGAGAGTAGAAACAGGTTATTAGTATGCAGAGTGCATGCACTGCAAATTCATTAAAATTTGTAACCTCACCTACCACCTCTGGAACTTCGGATTGAGGGAGTTGAGCTCCTTGAGTAAGTCAGCCAGAAATTACAACAGGAAATGGAACTTCAGAGTAATGACATGCTCGTATACAGCATAATCATACTCCCTTAGAAGTAGGACCGCTGCATGGAACACCTCGACAAGACGCTGGATAGCCTCACCTTGAGACAACCAGCGGACCTCTCGAAGCTCTTTGAAATGGGAGTGGACTACGATCGACCGGCCGAGAATGTCAGCCAGTGATCGTAGGACCTTGTCGACCATTCCCAAGTCAGGGAACTCTGTTGCAGCATCTTTGGCAGCGAGAGCTTCCCGGCGTAAGGCGGGAAACAAAGGCAGTCAATATTATGAATGAGGGTTGTACAACGGAAACCAGAAGGAGGAAGAATCTGACCAATGTGCAATACAGTGGCATGACACAAGGTGCGGAACACGCATGCGCAGCCGTGCGACGAACCCGTTTTGAGCTCCCGTCATCACACTGACTCTGTCATTGCTGATGCCGCAGATTCGGTTGAGTTCGTCGCCAAGGTGTGTCAGCAGCATGGCTTGGAGAGAGGTGGCATTGCACTTCTCGACAGTCAGGTGAGCAAAGAACTCCGTCGCCACCGTAATGTCGCGTAGGAACGTCAGGTACATTATCATATGCTTGCCCCGCCGCCTGTCCGTGCTCTCGTCGAGCTGGATATTGAGAAATGGGCTCGCTTTGATGTGTGTCAACTGTTTTTCATGCGGGTACCTGACCATGTTCTCGACGAGCTGGTTGAAGCCACACCTGCGTGCACTCACTGGACAATACACTCAAATGAATACAATAATGCGTAACCAACGGCAACATAGGATCAGGATTAGGTTGCAAGTGACGCTTAACTAGTATCAAACAGTGCAATGCGCAAGACACTTTGTCACTTTGGTATGAACCATGCTCGTTCTCCAGCAGATCCGGTGTGCCTTGCTCCGCCGTGAATTGCACTAATGATACGAAGAGCAGAACTGGAGCGTCTGACTTGCAGTTGAATTAAACGATGGCCATCAGCCACATCAGTCGCTTAGCCCCTGCGTCCCCGTTCTTGCCGTCAAGTTTCAGCTTGCGCACCATAATTGCCTCGTGCTTCTGCTGTGCTGATGCTTCCGCATGGTCTGCTTTTGAATGTCGATTTCGCCCTTGCCGTTCCGTCCGTACTGGGAGTCGGGGTCGTCTCCATGCACCTTGCAGTCTGCGCACTTCATGCATGGTCGCCCCTCGAAGGTTTCAAAGATGACGAGCCACGGAAAGTGGCGCTGCCACTGCTCTGCCGCCTTCAGCTGAAGCTCCGCAGCCGTTAAGGGAAATGGGCCATCATCGTCTGACGGTGTGGAAGGCCGAGGGTCACTACGAGGGCACTGCTCGCCGAGGCGAACAGTGGGCGTGGAGGTGGAAGATGCTGGCCTTCCGAAGGTAAGCTTGCGCTGCTCAAAACGCACCTTTCCTGGCTTGCGCTCAGGAAGGGCGGGGCCTCCCGAGAGGCAAACGGAGGGGCCGGCAGAGACTACTGGTGCATCAGGCACGATAGGGCTACTAGGGCGTCCTGGCGGGCTGCTAGGACGTTCTGACGTGAGGGTGATGCATGGCTCAATATCTAGCGGAGGAAAAGGGATGGCGGGGTGGATACAGGTGACACGGCACGTTCTGGTACCAACGCCATAGCGTAGGCACCGCCTGTGAGCAGGTCGAAGCCTGACAGCTTGGGAAGCAACGCTACTGCATGCTCTTTGTCAGGACAATCTGCTGCTGGCTTAGCGGTACCAGCGGCAGTTGCCATCAGACCTACGCGTCGAGCAGTTGCTAGATTGAAACCGCTACACGAGAGTGTGCCGAGATTACGACTAGGAAGAGCTTGGCTGGAGGAAAGGCATCTCGCTTGAACTCTGGAATCAAG